GAGGTGAGTGAAAAGCACTCACCTCATAGTTCCTCTCTAAGGGTCTGGTATGACTTTTGGGGGGAACCCCATACACTTTTTTATCATTTTATTTAAATGGGGTTCCCCCCAACATTCCTACCAGACCTTAAGGGTCTAGTATTGTTTGGGAGGGGGAACCGCACGCTTTTTTTTTCTTTCTTTAGAAATGTCAGTTTTGCTGCAGCAGGTTCTTTACATTGTACAGATCCGCCACTTTACAGGCAGGTTAAGGGGACCCCCCAGACACCATATTTAAAACTTTTCATTTTTATTGTTTCACTTCAAGTGATGTTAAAATCACTGCTCCTGTAAAAAATGTATTTTTAAAAGTGTTTTTTGCATCTATTCCTGTCCCCTCCATACATGTCCCCCAGGGCAGTACTCGGATCCCCATACATGTCCCCCAGGGCAGTACCTGGACCCCCATACATGTCCCCCAGGGCAGTACTGGGATCCCCATACATGTCCCCCAGGGCAGTACCCAGATCCCCATACATGTCCCCCAGGGCAGTACCCGGATCCCCATACATGCCCTCCAGGGTAGTATTCGGATCCCCATACATGTCCCCCAGGGCAGTACCTGGACTCCCATACATGTCCCCCAGGGCAATACCTGGACTCCCATACATGTCCCCCAGGGCAGTATTCGGATCCCCATACATGTCCCCCAGGGCAGTACTCGGATCCCCATACATGTCCCCCAGGGCAGTATCCGGATCCCCATACATGTCCCCCAGGGCAGTACCCGGATCCCCAAATTCTGGATTCTCTTTCAGTGATAACGGTCACCGGGACACCTAGAGAGGGTGAATCTCCCTAAAGGGGACACAGATAGCTATAAGAACCCGATGGGTGTTCTACTTCCTCTCCACTCAATCCAAAACTAGTTGCACTTGAAGTAAACTGGATACGATGAGACCAAACATACGGAACAATAGATTTTGGGGTAAAGTGTAGCTACACAGAACTTTTGGAGGGTGAGGAACTCTGTCAGGTTTTACTGCTATCCAGGGTTCTGTTGGAGAGATTTCTTCTCACTTCCTGTACTGGGGGCAACATATCGCAGACCGGAAGGGTGTTTTCGGACCCTCAAGCTCATTGCAGCCTTTAGGGCCGAAACACATTTTTCTGCTATGGAGCATTGGCAGCCCATTTATTTTGAATCGGTTTCCTTAGTGCAACATGTGTGAATGTGGTAAAACATGGGCGCCAAGTTTGGAATGAGCCTTTATCTATTTATTAGGTTATTTTTTCATTTTTTGTGTGTCACATGATGAGCTGGGTCCTCTTCTCTGACCTGTGGGGCAGGCCTCTGCTGATGCAAAGAGCAGCGCTGACGTGACCTCACCACAGCGCCGCCCTCTGCTTCAATACGAATACTATGAAAAATAGGGCGCCATGGAGACCACCAATCAGGGTGCGGGGCCATGACGCCTGCATTGATGGTATGTCCTCAGTCATGACACTGGGTGTCATTCAAGACTGAGGACATCGTGAGGCAAAAAAGGGGTCCCATGAGGGAAGGGGGTGACTCCGTGTTGAATGGACACCGGCCTTTACGCTAATGTGTGGCAGCATGGCGGTGGGCTTTAATGCCGTTCTGATATATATACATATATATAAATGCACACAGCTGACATTGCTATCTTCTACTGGGAGCATGCTCATTCAGCTCTCCCACGCAGTGTGACCGCGCTGTCACCAATGCCTCCCGATCACTGTTGACGACCAGGAGCTGCTAGGACGGGTTCCCAATCATGTGATCACTGTGACAGCCAATCACATGACCAGCAAGTCCAGGAAATGCCTTAGATTTAAAGGGACGGCTCCTGATAGTGAAAAGGGGTTAAAAACAATTGACCAGATTTGTTGCAATTTTTGACGGTGGGGAGCTGGTAGGACTTGCTCCCGATCATGTGATCACTGTGACAGCCAAATTCACATGACCAGATAATGCCTTGGTCAACGAGATGGCCTCAGACAACCGAAAAGGGGTAAAAAAAATAAAAAAATGCCCGGAGTTTGGCTTTCATTTCGCCTTTCCAATTGGCTCACTTGACAGTTTGCCAAAATTCCTACAAAAGTTTTTGGGAAAAGAAAAACTCCTGATCCATACTCTTCCTGCACAAATAGGATGCATGACGTTTTCAAAAACAGCCTATACACACACACACATCAATAACAATGTTTACTAACCATTCTGACATGATAACTGTTTTAAAATATGCCTGGCAGGGAGTAGCAGCTGCTGCGGCACCTCTTTATTCCCCACACAGCCCCCCCTCTTTCCTCGGTCAGTCAGGAAGATTTTCCCGCCTTTTTTTTCATCCTGAGGCGAAACACGCGCGCCCCCGTCAGAGCCGGCAACACGTGACCCTCACGGCCGCGCCGAGCAAAGAGGAGGAGGAGGAGGCGTGGCGCTGGCTCTCTCCCCGCCCGGCTCGGTTGAAAAAAAAATAGTGTATACAATTCAGACTGAAACTTGTAGGAGTGTCAGGCACACATACATACACACATACACATGCATACATACACGCACACACGTGTCAAAATCTATATATACATATTACACAATGTGTCAATATTTTTGCATTGATTTCCTAGGAAGTGATAAGCTTCCTCATATGTGATACAATGTTACAAAATCTAAGATCTCAGTGTAAAGTCAAAGAAGAGGTCCCCCTCTGTAGAACACGGGGTGTCCTGAATTCCCACGGCAGGGGGGTGCGAGATGTCCGGCTCCCTTCACAGTCCAGGCCCCGGCTCT